CAACCTATATCGGTGAATATTAAAGACAAAACATCTCGACTTAATCGATTAATCTATGTCATGCATTATTAGTGATGAATGAATGAAATATAGAACAATACGAAATTTCTTTGACATGTATATATATGTATCACAAATTAAATAAATAAAAAAAGCTATTAGCATTAAGTAAATGAGTTAATATAATAATCGACTAAACGTATTTAAAATAGAATAATATTGGTTTATGAATTCATCAATTGATCAAGTTTTCGTGCGTAGTAATGTATGTGATTGATCATCAATTACAATATAGTGTGTATGTGTGTGTGTGTGTGTGTGTGAAATGACCCATATACTTAATTATAACTTAAAAAATTAACTTAGATAGATGGATACAAAAGGTAAAACGTCTTGACCGATATTTATTAATCTATGTGATTTGTAACTAGTTATAAAACGAATGAATATATAAGACGAAACATGAAATTCGAATAAAATAAACGTCGTATATATATATATACTTTTATTTGTTTATTATGATTGATTAATTATATATATATGTGTGAATAAAATATATGCTTATAGTTTATTAAAAGTAATTAGTTAATATTATTATTTATAAAGATTATGCTTATAGTTTATAATTATTTATTAGTAAATATATATGTGGATAAAATATATGCTTATAGTTTATAATTATTTTTTAAAGTTTATAATATTTTAAGAAATAATAACACAAAAAAATTAATTTAGGTTTTTTTTAAGATAACCGACCGAAGTCGGTCGATTAATTGTGGTCAAACACAGTCAACGGTCACTTAAGTATATCGACCGACTTTACTGACTGACGTCAGTCGGTACTTTTAATTTCAGATATGAAATACGGGATTCCCCCTCATTTCTTTTCTTCTCTTCTCAAAATTTTCTAACTCTCATTCTCTTCTCCCTCACACATATAACACACTTCCCCCACTCCTTCTCTATTTTCCTCACACAAATCTTATTCCTCACTCCTCCGTGCCACCTCACGTCGCCACTGCCTCCGTCGTCGTCGTCGTCGCTGCTGCTACTGCCTCCACTGCCCCTCCTCCTCCACCTCCTAAAAATTTCAAGTGTCGATTTGAACTTACATGAATTAGTTAATTATTATTTAAATTGATTGTCTAACTTTGAATTTTATTGAAATCTAGGGTTTAGGTCTTGTTAAAATTGAATTGAATTGAATTGATTATGTATGGTGTAAATTGATTGTTTAAGTTTGTATTGACTTGAGTAGTTTAGTTAGGAATTGAATGTTTAACTTTGAATTGAATTGAGTTTTTAGGATTTGTTCTTGTGAATTAAATTTTTAGGGTATGAATTGAACTTTTAGGGTTAAGTGTTGAACTTTTTAGATAGAGCTTATGTTTTGTGAGGTTAATTGAATTGTTTAGGGTATTAATTGAATTGTTTAGGGTATGGGTTAAATTTGTAGGGGTAATGGTTGAACTTTTAGAGATAAGTGTTGAACCTTTTGGGTATGAATTAAATTTATAGTTTATGTTTAAATTGAATGAATCATAATAAATTATATTTACTATAATTTAATTTTGATATAATTAGCAAAAATTAATTATTTTAATTAACTAAAAATAATTTATTTAATTTATAATTGTAGAATAAATTAAAACCACACTAATTTAAACAACGCTTGAAAATTGTTGCCAAAAGTATTTGTGGGCACGCTTTTAAGGAGTGGCATAGTTTTAGGCCACACAATTTAGGCAACGCTTCTAAAACCTTGTTTTTAACTAGGAAGGCTATGCTTTTTAATTGTTGTCAAATTATAAAATATTTGACAACACTTACTCACAAATATTGCAACACTTTTAAAGGGTTATGTTTATTCATTCTAAAAATCACCCCTTTTAAGTGTATTGTAAAACATTCAATAAATTTTCCCCAAATATTTTCCCCTATTATTTCTCTTAAGCGAAATATTTCCCCCAGTTCTGAAGAGGCAAAGGAGACCTCTAAACTATTTCTCCTTTGAAATTTCCCAATCCCTTTCCGCTGTTTCGCATACTCCGTCTCCTCCGCCGGCTTACAGCGACCAAGTCCATTCAGTACAAAGATGGAGTTTCAGCAATGAAACTAACTGAGGTGGTCTTGCACCGAGTCAACTTGTGTTGGCTCCTTCGGCGGTTCTTCCTCTGCAACACCTAGTCAAGTGCCGCCATCGACCTGTTTGCACCTTCCGTTCCTTTACGGAAATGGTTAACTTTGCTTCCATACTTGTATGTGCTGATCTTGTCAAACCCACTTTGATTAATCTATCTTTACTATAACTTTTTTTGTGTTTAATTTCTTTGCTAAGAACTATATATAATTTTGGTACGATTTTTAGTGTTGCACTCTAAATCTTGATGGATTTGAAGTTGTGAAATAAAAAACCCTTGTTGCACTTGAAGGATTGTTTAAGGGCTTCTCATGCTTATTTTCCCTTAATATTTTCAGGTTTCAATCATAATTGTTTGTCCTATTATGAAAGAAATTAGTTTGCGTTCAATTTCTTCTATGCCTTATAAACCAACCCAAGTCTTAATATTGAAGTGTGTTCAATTTTCGACAGTTTATGCAGGGGCGAGACAAGTAGATCTGATCATCAATGACAGTGGTAAAAGACTTAATAATTCTTCTCTAGAGGAGATAGGTGAGAGTTTGATATGATATTGTGTTTGTGTTTTATCCTTTTTCTTTCCTTTGGATATATGCTTGCTCATTACTAAAAGGTTTTATACTGGATTAATATGAATATAATATCATTTTTTGATATGTATGAATATGATATCGTTATGGAAAAAATCAGTTCTGCATTGATTTATCAGCGAGTGCTTATTTTGTCATGGTGGAAGTCAGACAGATATTATTTATGTGATTTTGTGATATTTATCTTGTAGTTTCTATCATCTACATTGCTTTTCGTATTGGAATGCCTCCATGAATCTATCCAAATAGTGAATTGCCCTACATTGTTATCAAGAGCTGTGTTAATATTATACTTTGTGAATCAAGTTGTTGATATTTCTGTAGTGCAATACTTAAAATCTTTGATCTGACTAATAACCTTACGGTAGTAATCTAACTTATATGGTTAGGTTCCTTTTGTTTCTCCATGCCTGAGAATGTTACTAATATAATCTAAATTCTGTGATTAGGTTCAGTATGTAGATATTTCATTTTTTACTTGCATTTTGCCCATCTATTGATACTGGAAAAAATAAAAACTTGCATATTCACTGCCTATTGCAAATTCTACTTAGTTCATGCTTGCAAAATATCTCCCTGGCACGTGTAAATATTGGCACAATAATAAGTAATGGCTATTACTTCATTACAATAACTACTAGTATATAATTTATTATCAATCTAACTGGATGCCAATCTAGCCAATTGATTTATAAATTGCGAGTTTCATATTTATAGATATTCGTGTAAAAATTGAGTTTGTTGAAACTTTCTGTTTCAAGATACCTTGAATGAAAGTAAGACTAATGCATTCCGTAAGGAACATAAAGATTTTTGGATTTTTGCCAAGTATTTTTATGCTTCAAAAGAAATATTATATATATTAAATATTGTTATTATTACAACCCATACAAAGTTAGTTAATTCTTCTTGATTTTGGATTCATCATCCATGTTTAGCATACTGAAGTCTTTCCCGTGTACTAGGTATTCATCTGAGTTATGGTTATTCATTAATGCATTCAGGAAGCTTACTTGTGACTTTTAGTGTGATGTGATTTGTACTTTCCCTTGGTATTTAGGTTATTTCATGACCACATGAAAAGAGATATACATTGGCAGAATTTAGTTGAGAACACAAAGCAGAGAAATGCACTCTACAAGGTTACTTAAGCAATATCTGGTAACTTTCTATCTAGTTATACAATTGCTTTATCCTTCAAACTTCTTGCCCGTAGAATTGTGAAACATATACTATTGTTGAAGCCGAAACTGTAATTTTATCCACCAGTTATTTTCTCTAAAATCAGTACTCCATTATAACATATGTTCAACTTCATTAGAAAGTTTTATGTTTCATACCACCTGAAAATTAGAAAAATATATCATACCACCTAAAAGTTTATGCCTTCTTATTCCTTAGTTTTATCATCTTTGAGGACATTCATAAGGCGAAGCGAAAAGCATCTTACCTACATATTTGTGAAATCAAACGAATTATTTTCTTATACAAAGAACAAAAGAATATCATGTTTTATGCAAGAGGGGTCGTACATGCATTCAAAAGTTACTGCTTTCTAACATAGACATGGTGTACAAGTAGCTTCCAAATGTCATTTTCTCTATTGAAAGTATTGCGCATCTGATTGGTGAAGATAAGTGCTAAGTTGGATAGTTTGTTATTACATATTCTATCAGAAGATCACTGTTAAGTTTGTAGTCCTCCTGTATAACGAGGCCAACTTAAATAGGATTGTATAAAGTTATTTGCCCGTGGTGGTGTAAACTGTTCTATATCCGCTACTCACTGAAACACATAAGAAATTACTCTGAATGTCAAATGGCTATTGATTTCGGTTTGTCCTCTCATCCATTGTCTTTTGCCCTGGTAGTACTACTTTTTCATTGTTATTAGTGTTGCGCTTTTGATTGGTGAAAATATGCTCATTTGAGTTTGCACTTGTATAATATTGGTTTCTATCTAACTTTTAATTTAATTTTAAATTTGTAGGAAAATTCTGGAGATGGAATTGAAAATGTAAACATCAGTAATGGAGGTGAAATCGTACAAATCTAATCTAGGGTTTGAGAGTGAGAGAAAAGAAGCTTTACATTATTCTGAGGTTGAAAAGAATGAGAAAATGATCCGTTCCTCTACAAAATGATAAGCCCAAAATAATATACACACCTAACCCACTTCCTCTCTAACCGACTCTATAAATAATTACAAAAGAAAGACAAATGGGCCTGGCCCAATACAAATAATAACAAAACAAAAATATGGGCCTAATACTAATCAGGAGTGGGTGGTATATTTCTAACACCCCCCCTCAAGTTGGAGGGTGACAAAACCCCCAACTTGGAAAGAAAACCATGATGAGTAGCACCACCGAGAACCTTAGTGAAAATACCAGCCAACTGAGAAGAAGAAGTATGCAGCAGATGAATAAGGCCTTCAGCAAGCTTGGCCCGCACCAAGTGGCAGTCAAGTTCAATATGCTTCGTTCGTTCATGAAAAACTGGGTTCTTAGCAATGTGGATAGCAGCATGAGAATCACAAAACAAAGAAATAGGTGAATATGAATGCAAACCCAAATCAGATAACAAACGAGACATCCAGGCCAGCTCAGTCACAAATTTGCTCATTGCCCTGCATTCAGCTTTAGCAGAAGACATGGAGATAACATGCTGCTTCTTAGACTTCCAAACCACAAGACTGCCACCCAAAAACATACAATAACCACTCACAGACTTCCTAGTGTCAAGACAGGCAACCCAATCACTATCACAGTAAGCAGTTAGAGACAAATCAGAGAAATTGTTGAAGAAAATCCCACAATCAGAGGTACCTTTCAGGTATCTTAACACATGGAGCGCAACTTGCATATGGGGAAGACAAGGGGATTGCATGAATTGACTAAGGTGTTGAACAACAAAATAAATATCACGCCGAGTGTGAGTAAGAAAATTCAACTTCCCAATAAGAGACCTATAGACATCAGGCTTTGGTAAGGGATCACCTCCATGAGCTTTAAGCTTGGCAGACAACTCAAGAGGACAAACACAGGAGAAACATCTGAGCAGTGAAAGTTAGCCAATAGATCAAGGATAAACTTCATCTGATGAATGAAAACCCCAGAATCTGAATAATAAACCTCAATGCCCAGAAAATAGTTAAGGGACCCCAAATCCTTAATCTTGAACTGAGCATGGAGAAAGGACTTAACATCAGAAATTTTAGAAGAATCAGCCCCAGTGATCACAATGTCATCCACATAAACAACCAATATCACAAGAGAAGCACCAGAACCCTTAATGAAGAGGGAGTAATCATTGAGAGAAGATGAATAACCTCTAGATGTGAGGGCTTGAGAAAGCTTAGCATACCATTGCCTTAAAGCTTGTCTCAAGCCATAAAAAGACTTCTGAAGCTTGCACACCAATTGGTCAGAACCAGATGTGGAGAGAACAGAATAACCAGGAGGAAGCTTCATGAAAACTTCCTCATCCAAGTCCCCATGCAAAAAGGCATTATTGGCATCAAGCTGAAAAAGGGGCCACTGTCTTTTAACAGCAAGAGCAACCAAAGTTTTAATGGTGGACATTTTGACAACATGAGAGAAAGTCTCTTGGAAATCAATATCCTCTACCTGAGTGTTCCCCCTAACCACCAATCTAGCTTTATACCTCTTAACACTTCCATCAGCCTTATATTTAACCTTGTAAACCCACTTACACCCAATAGGTTTCTTACCAGGAGGCAAAGGCATGACAGACCATATGCCATTGGTTTCAAAAGCCTCAAATTCATGTCTCATAGCCTCCTGCCATTCAGGAAGAGGGACAGCTTGAGAGTAAGACTCGGGCTCAAAAATAGAAAGATCAGCAGGAGCTGATAAAGAAACAACATGCCTAGAACAAGTAGGGAAAGAACAAACATAGTTTTGGAGCTAGCTGGGGGGATTGTGAGGTTTGGAGGACTTCCTTACAGGTGAAGGAGAAGTGAAGTGAGTAGGAGAAGAAGAAGGCAAAGCAGTAGAAGAAGGAGAAGAAGAAGAAACATTACAAGGAGGGGGTGAAGATGAAGGGGAAGATGAGGGAAACACCTCACCACTTGTCTCACCCGAAGAAGGGAAGTAAGAAGTTGCAGAAGGAAAGACATCAACAGGAGATGACTAGGAAGGAAAAACAGTAGAAAGAGTGGAGGAAGTTTGGGCAAAAGGAAATATGGTCTCATGAAAAATAACATCTCTGGACACAAAAGAAGATTTGGAAGCAAGATTATACAACTTATAGCCTTTTTTAGCAAAAGGGTAGCCTAAGTAAACACAAAGGACAGACCTAACTCCAAACTTGTCCCTATGGACCCTAGGAACAGTGGCATAGCATAGACATCCAAAAGATCTCAGATGGCTATAGGAAGGAGGCTTTCCATAGAGGAGTTCAAAGGGGCTTTTGTGATGGAGAAGAGGTGAAGGGAACCTGTTGATAAGATAAGTGGCAGTGAGAATGCAATCACCCCAGAAAGAAGCATGCAAGCTGGATTGAAAAAGCAAAGCTCTTGCAGTTTCAAGCAAGTGTCTATGTTTCCTTTCAACTACACCATTTTATTGAGGAGTGTGTAGACAAGAAGTCTGGTGGATGATGCCTTTCTCAGTAAAGAATTTGGAACCATAGGTAGAGGAACCTAGTTCTAAAGCATTGTCACTCCTAACACTTTGAATCTTGAAAGAAAAATGGGTATCTACCATGGCTATGAAAGCCTTAAGGAGGTCAAAAGCACTGCTTTTGGAACCAAGAAGGTGGGTCCAGGTAGCCCTAGTGTAGTCATCAACTATAGTGAGGAAATACCTAGCACCACCTGATGTGGGGGAATGGTAGGGACCCCAAGTATCAACATGGATTAGTTGAAATGGGGAAGAAGATTGAATGGAACTATCAGGGAAAGGTAACCTAGTTTGCCTGGCCAAGGGACAGACTGAACAAGGGAAGGATTGCTTAGGGGAAAGACAAGAACTAATATCAGAAATAAGTTTCATCTTAGAAAAAGGTACATGTCCTAGTCTAAAATGCCAAAGAACATCCATTTTATTAATAGTGGAATTAGTTGAATTACAAACAGGATCAACAGGAAAAACAGAATCAGGTGAACACACTTCAATAACAGGAAAAGAAACAACAGAAAGAGATGAACATGGCATGGATGTTGACTGAGTAATGTCCAGCTTGTATAGCCCTTTGTCCAGTTTACCAAGAACCAGTGGCTTCTTCAGAGAAGGCCCCTGTAAGACACACACAACCTTAGAAAATTGAGCAATGCCATCAAATTGTGCCACTAATTGATAAACAGAAATAAGGTTAAATTGGAAAGTTGGAACATACATGAGTGAAGTGTGAAATTGGAAAACAAAGTCAAAGATCCAGTAAGTGTAACCTTAACTTTATATCCATTAGGAAGAGATACAAGGCAAAGAATAGTGAGAGGTTCTAGATTAAAGAGAAGAGACTTTTGAGAAGTCATATGATCAGATGCCCCAGAGTCAAGAATCCAAGCCGAACTATCTACTTGTGAAAATAAAGCAGGTTTAAGTAACACATTGTGAGTAGCAATCCTACCAGCAAAATGAGCAGAGGCCATGAGAGAGTGAGAAGGATTTGGGCTAACATGAGACTGTTGCAGAAGCAACATCAGTTGAGAATATTGCTCCTTGGTCAGCCCTGGCACTCCAGAGTGCTGATCAGATGCATCATTTGAAAATACAGTACTGGGACTAGGGCTAGAATGGACTGAGAAGACAGAAGAAGACTCAATAACAACATTGGCAGATGCTCTTCGAGGTGCATCATTCTTTTTGAATTTGAAATTGGGTGAAAAATCATGGAGCTTGTAGCACTTTTCAATGCTATGTCCAGATTTCTTGCAGTATTTGCAAATAAGAGACTTTGAAGGCTCAAAATTCACCCGAGGTGCATAAGCAGGTTTAGAAGCACCAGCATTAAAAGAGGTAGACTCTGAGGTAAATTGAGAGGTAGAGGACACTTGTCTCTGTTTCTCATCACTTAGGAGAATGCTGTACACAATATCAATAAAGGGGAGGGGCTTTAGCATAACGATGTTGCTGCGCACCTGAACATATACATCATTCAACCTTATCAAAAACTGGTAAATACGTTGCTCCTCCTCTGCCTTTACGCCACCACCACAAGTGCACTTATACTCAGAAATAGAAGCCAACTCATCCCACAATTACTTTATTTTGTTGAAGTAAGAGGCAATATCAAGAGCACCCTGAGAAATGTGAGATAATTCCTTCTTTAGCTCAAAAACTCTAGCTCTATCAGCCTGCCCATACCTAGTCTCTAATTCCCTCCAAATATCCTTAGCATATTCAGAATACACGACTGTTCGATGGATTTGCTTAGTGACAGAGTTGGAAAGCCATGCAACAACTAAATCATTGCATTTATGCCATTGTTGCATGAGAGGAGATCCCTTAGAAGGTTTCTCAACAGTCCCATGGATGAAATCCAGCTTGTTTCTAACGGAAAGGGCAACCAACATGGATCGTCGCCAACTCCCATAACAAGTCCCATCAAAGGGCTCAGAAACTAAAGAGCTTCCCAACAAATCAGAAGGATGAACATATAAAGGATGGCAAGGGTGAGTATAATCATCAGGATGGAAAGGAAGACGTGTGTGTGTTGGGTAGTATCACTTGTAGTATCAGAAATAGACGAAGGCGAAGATGCAACAGATATCGCCATTAAAACCAAAACAATGCTAAAAAAAATAATTCTAATGAAGAATCACAAGACAATAGGAGAAAATGAGACACGATACCAACTCTTCTTGCAACCGGAGAAGGTACGGCCTTGGAATCGAAAGAACAGTCACCAACAAACCCTAACACATGCAGTTTGGAGCTTGATGCGCAAAATTGAAGCAATAACTAGTGAAGTAGCAATAATTATCGTGTTGTGTAGAAGAGAAGACCACAATATGGCTCGACCAGTAAAAAAATCCATCGATTTCGTCAGTTTCGTCGGAGATCATAACGGTGATGAAATCCTACGAGGGTAACCTCGGAAGGAAGGGGAACATTAGATCTATGGGATTCCGTGGCTCTGATACCATGTAAACATCAGTAATGGAGGTGAAATCGTACAGATCTAATCTAGGGTTTGAGAGTGAGAGAGAAGAAGCTTTACATTATTCTGAGGTTAAAGAGAAGGAGAAAATGATCCGTTCCTCTATAAAATGATAAGCCCAAAATAATATACATACCTAACCCTATTTTTCCTCTAACCGACTCTCTAAATAATTACAAAAGAAAGACAAATGGGCATGGCCCAATACAAATAATAACAAAATAAAAATATGGGCCCAACACTAATCAGGAGTGGGTGGTATATTTCTAACAGAAAATGGTGGATTAGATCAAATTGATTTATCGGAGGTTAATGACGAAGAGTTATAGACTATTATGATGTTTATGATATAATATGAATATATATAATTTTGTAAGGTTAATGGCTGGCAGGCACCATGAAATAATTTTTTCATTATTTGATGTAGTGTATGAAATATTCCTTCTTCAAAGTTCATTACAAGTATATTCATTTGAAACAAATTTTGTTATTTAATAGTTAATGCAGTGTTTGAGATCTCCATACTAAAGTTCAAATTTATGAAATATGTATGATAATGCTACGCTTCTAAAAGATCTCCATACAAATTTTGATTCATGCATAAAGGTTAAAATATGTATGATAATGCTACGCTTCTAAAGTGTGGCAGTAGGGTATAATATTAAAGATCACGTTTTACAAACGTTTCTATTAGAGGAACGCTTGGAAAGGGTTGCTTATAAGGTGACAATGAGCACGCTTGGACATAAAAAGCATGGCTATTGTACGTTGTGGCCTTTGCCTCACGAAAAGCGTTGCTTTAGGGAAAATGTTACGCTTGCTTAGATCACCCCCTGAAAAGCTTTCCCTTAGGTCAAAAAGTGTGGCCTTTGATCAAAGCCAACTCTTTCTAAAGCTGAGGCCACATTTTTTGATTATGGTTAAGGCCTAAAATGTTGTAGTGTCTAATACTTATGGAAATATCTCAATTTATTTTTACTTTATTTGTATAGATGGAACATCATACTTGTCACGACCCAAAATCCTTTAAAGGTCGTGATGACGCCTAACACCGCTGTCAGGCAAGCCTGTAATACTTGATTGACTTAATTACCCATTTTAGTATTTTGAAATCATAATTTCCCTCAATTTAATAGTAAAAGATGGAAGTCCAGAGTAAATGAAAGTATTTTTCACAATCTCAATACTGAACAACCCATAATCACCCAAAACCTCAGTGTCACAAGTGCATGAGCATCAACTAGGAATGTAAAATAGAATACAACATCTGTCCGGAATACAAATTGGACAGAAAAAAATATAAATACTCTGAGGGAGACTCTGCTGGCTGCGAGTCGTAATATGGAATGCAGCTCACCTAAGTCCCCGCATATAAACACCCCTCTGCTCTCACAAGGTCACTAGACATATATGTACCTGCATAAAAATATACAACAAGTGTAGTATGAGTACGTAAATCAACGTGTACCCAGTAAATATCTAGCCTAACCCCGGAGGAATAGAGACAAGGGGCCAACATCGATGCTTACTAGCTGTCCAATAATATCAGGTACAGTAAAGAGGTAAATAAATATGAGGCAGAGTAAATAAATAAAATAAGCAAGCATAAAATACGTGGTACAAATTTTCCTCCTTAACCGGAGCATATATATAGATGTAGTGGATCTCATCAAATAAATTGTCTTAATTCAAATCAGGAAAACTCACGGATACACTGGCTTCTTGCCAAATATTATGCACGATTCCATGAGGATATGTTATAGGAAATGCCGAGGCGTACGACCCAATCCAATATAAATATTTAAACTGTGCACTGCCGAGGGTCGAACGACACGAACCATAGATGCATCTATTAAACTACCGAGGAGAACGGCCCACTACCATGAGAGTGTGGTACATAAATCCCGCCGAGGCGATCGACCTGATCCCATTAGAATAAAGAGCTTTGACGGGTCCTTGACCCCACTCACGAATAAATGTGTGAGTTGTAATTTCTTTAACAAAAACTTTCAATGAAACATATATATCACAAAAACATGTCGTAAGAGGAGTAAAATCATTCAGTGACTAATCATGAACTCGAGAAGTCTCTACAATAGCAAGTCTAGTCTCAAGTAGTAATGTAAAACAGAGGAATTTAATAGGCGAGAGACTGCTCAAATAGTACAGTTATAGCATGATGTGAACCTAAGCCTACCCGGACAATAACATGAATGTAGCTACGTACGGGCTCTCGTCACCTTGCGCGTACGTAGCCCCCACAACAAATAGCACACAGCAATATACAACACCTAGGGGTAATTCCCCCCTCACAGAGTTAGACAGGAGACTTATCCGCTCCGAAGTTCCATAACCGGCTCCAATGCCACTGTATCACTTCAAACCGATGCCCGTCGTTCAGAAACTAGTCAAACAATGTGCAAACCCACAAAAATATACTCTAATACTCATTATAATTCAATTTACAATAATTTCCAACTCCGCTCGAAAAGTTGATAAAAATCACCCTCAGGCCCACGTGCCCGGATTCCGAAAATTTTCGAAGATAAACATTATCTATAACCCCACGAACTCAAATATATATTTCATTCCAAATTCCATGTCCAAATTCGTGGTCAAAATCCAAAAATACAATTTCTAGGTTTTTCTACCAAAATCCCAAATTTTTACAAATTTTCATGTTCAAATCCATGTATAAACCTTGTATTTAACTCACAACTAGTAGGATTCACTTACCTTATGATTGATGGTAAAAATGATGCTCCAAATCCGCTCTTAGGTCGGCTCTCATGCAGAAAATGAGATAAAAATGGCCAAAACCCGTATTCTTACAACTTATACACTGCCCAGACGACCCTTATTCGCGAACGCGGCAAGCCCCTCGCGTTCGCAAATCTCACCAAGCATAGGCCCAGAAAATCTTCTTCGCGTTCACGCTCCTCACGGCGCATTCGCGAAGCCTTCTGCCCTCACTGCTTCTTGTTCGCAAACCCGGCCTCGCGTTCGCGTAGGCCAAATGGCCTCAGGCCCAACTCCTCACTTCCTTCTACGCGTTCGCGTCTGCCCAATCGCGTTCGCGTAGGTCCATCAAGCCCTTCACCGCGTTCGCGTTCACGTCTCCCCCCATCGCATTCGCGATGGGAAAATCTAGCAGCCCCCAAAAGTCTCCTTCGCGAATGCATGAGTCCCTTCGCGTTCGCGAAGAAGGAAACCAGATAGCAGCAAAAGCAACAACAAATCATTCCGTTTTGGTCCGAAACCACCCTGAAACATACCCGAGGCCTCCGGGACCCCGTCCAATCACCCAAACCAGTCCTATAACATAACACAAACTTGCTCGAGGCCTCAAATCACACCAAATAATATCGAAATCACGAATCACACCCCAATTCGAGCTTAATGAACTTCAGAACTTCAAACTTCCACATTCGATGCCGAAACCTATCAAATGACCTCAAATTTTGCACACAAGTCACATTCTACATTACGGACCTACTCCAACTTCCAAAATCAGAATCCTACCCCGATATCAAAAAGGTCCACTCCCGGTCAAACTTCCCAAAAACCTTCAAATTTCAACTTCCGCCAAATGACCCCAAAATGACCTACGGACCTCCAAATCCACATCCGGACGCGCTCCTAAGACCAGAATCACCATACAAAGCTATTCCCAAGCTCGGAATTCCAAACGGACATCGATAACATTAAAATACACTTCCACCCAAACTTATAAAATTATTCCAAAATGTTAACCTTCCATAATGAGCACCGAAATGTTCCTAAGTCATCCCAAACCCGATCTGGACATACACCCAAGTACGAAATCATCATACGAACCTATTGGAATCTTCGAATATCAATTTCGAGGTTGTTTACTCAAAAATCAAACTTGAGTCAAAATCCTCCAACTTAAAGCTTCTAAAATTGGAATTTTCTTTCCAAATCAACTCTGAACTTTTCAAAATTTAATTCCGACCACACGTACAAGTCATAATACCTGAAGTGAAGTTACCCATCACCTCAAACCGCCAATCGATATGCTAGTGCTCAAAACGATCGGTCGGGTCGTTACAGTACTTGGATGTACAATAGGAATTATCCTAATCGGCGGGGATTGAGGAGGGATTTTGTAGAAGGGGTTGATGACTTTATTAGATATGTAATGTCACTTTCATCATACTAAATTGAAGGAGTAATTAGGTGCCCTTGTGTCAAGTGCGATTGTGTGAAGTTTAAAAAATCGGAGGAAGTTAAGCTTTATCATTATAGGAAGGGGTTTGTAGAGAATTACTTTGTGTGGACTAATTATGGAGAGATCGATGGTAGCCGTGAAATATTTCATAACATGATTGTTGGTGAAAGTAGTAGGTCGGTGGAGAATAGGAATCAAGATTCCATAACTCATGATATGGTTGCAGATGCTTTTGGGATGCACGTCAGGGTTGAGCCCAATGAAAATGTTGAAGAAACTCCTAATGATGATGCAAAATATTTTTATGAACAATTAGAGGAAGCCATTCGTCCACTACGTGAAAGAAGTCCGCACTCTGAGCTGTCTGTTGCAGTTAGATTACTAAGTACCAAATCTGATTGGAATATTTTTCAAGCGGACATGG